TGGATCGATTTCAAACCACGTTGGATAAATCTGGGCGAGATGAGAAATCCGCTCGAGATTTGTTCATCTATCATCTACGAAGTCTGACGTTGAAAGGGAAATTACAGAAAAAGGTTCCCCAAAAACTCACCAGCTGTCGGCTATCATCGCTAAAGCTTTCGAGTTAGACCTGGCCGATACAAAGAAATATATCAGTCAGGGAGACAAAGACATCATAGATACGATATAGGATGTAGCAGCTAAAAGACGATCGTGGTTACGGGCGGTAGATCGGTTTTATCCCCATGACCTCCCCGACGGGACCGCCTCTTATATCCCATCAGCTTCTTCGTCTTTGTCCCCTGCAAATCCACAGGCAGCGACGGTTAAAAGCAGAATCCCCAACGATTCTCCCTCTCCATCCATAACAAACTTACATCTTGCACAAATGATGCATTCGGCCACCGCTTAGCAATCAGAATGGATGAGCAACCTGGTTCAAATGCAGGCACCTCACATGGAGCGGATGGAACAGATAATGAGCAAGCTAATTAAGCCCAATCCGGCCCCTGCTCGACCTGCCCCCGCGTCATTTCCCCTCTTGCCTGCCCCTCCTGCACCAGGGCATGCACCGCAGTTCCCTCACCCGGCAAATCCAACAGGAAAGGTCGAGTGTTTTAACTGCAAACAGCCCGGACATTTTGCTCGAGACTGTCCGCAGCCGAAACGGAATCAACCCCCACCAGCCGCGGCCCCTGTAGCTCTGAACCAAGGACGGGTGGCCGCACTGATGGACACGGCCCAAGAAGGGAAATTTGTTGCATATGAGCAACCCTCCCCCTCAACAGCAGTCGCTTCAACCTCGGGAGCTTCTTCATCCTCCGACGCTGCTGACGTGGTCGATCCGCTCGAGTACCTTCATCTCGCGGGCATGGTCGGAGCGATCCGATCGGCCCACGATGATCTTGAATGGGTCGATCGCGAATCCAATCCTGGTCCACAGTTTCGGACGGGAGAAATCGATGTATTACGAGCGCTTAAGCAGTTGGATATTCGTGTTCCGATCCCGGTAGGGCATTTGCTCACAATCTCTGAAGCTGCAAATGATAAACTTTTGGAACAATGTCAGAAAAATCAAAAGCGCTTCACGTACCAGCGAGTGCAGCGAATGTTGAAGAAGAAGGAAGGAGGCGAGGAGGTTGCACCACCTGAACCTGAAACAGGCGAACCCGAACCAGCACGAGTAGCTGCGATTTCGTTGGCCGAGAAGGATCACTTCGTACGGGCTCGACCAGTGTTGTGGAAAAGCGCTGAGTGCGATTGTGAAGTTTGGGGCAAACCATTTAACGCCCTTATCGATACTGGGTCGTCCGCAGTAGCCATATCCTTAGACACAGTAAGAAAGACAGGATGACTTGGATCCATTCTTCCTCTATCTGGCAAAGACAGTTATGTCTCTGCCGACGAGGAAGCAATGAACATCGTAGGTGTTATTGAGAATGTGGTTGTGAAGGTCGGACGACTGTGTAACCGTTTGAACGTCGTGAATGCATGTTCGCGTTCAAATGTGCGTTTGAACGCGGATTGCGCGTTCGCGTTCAAAATTGAACGGTGTTCAATTATTTTTTTACTTTTTTATTTTTAAAAAAAAATCATTTTAATGCCAAAACATATCTTTTTTTTTCTGATTTTTGTTTTATGAGTTCCGTATGCTGTAAGATACATGTCTCTCAATTTTGAAGTCATTTTGCTAAGGCAAACAAAAATGAAAAATTGCCAAAGATGGCGGTGTCAAATCGTGCTCGCTCACTAATTTCAACTATTTTTTTGCTTTTTTTTTTTCTTTCTGTTTTCTATTTTTTTTTCCAATTCGGCAACGAATTTAGATGTAATGTTCGGGCAAATGTTGTTTATTTTATTTTTCGTCATAACATTTGTTTTTTTCGATTTTTTTTTTTTTTTTT